ATTAATATTTAATATTAATAAAAATAACTAATATTAATAATTATTATTAATATTTAATATTAATAAAAATAACTAATATTAATAATTATTATTAATATTTAATATTAATAAAAATAACTAATATTAATAATTATTATTAATATTTAATATTAATAAAAATAACTAATATTAATAATTATTATTAATATTTAATATTAATAAAAATAACTAATATTAATAATTATTATTAATATTTAATATTAATAAAAATAACTAATATTAATAATTATTATTAATATTTAATATTAATAAAAATAACTAATATTAATAATTATTATTAATATTTAATATTAATAAAAATAACTAATATTAATAATTATTATTAATATTTAATATTAATAAAAATAACTAATATTAATAATTATTATTAATATTTAATATTAATAAAAATAACTAATATTAATAATTATTATTAATATTTAATATTAATAAAAATAACTAATATTAATAATTATTATTAATATTTAATATTAATAAAAATAACTAATATTAATAATTATTATTAATATTTAATATTAATAACAATAACTAATATTAATAATTATTATTAATATTTAATATTAATAAAATAACTAATATTAATAATTAATATTAATAATTATTATTAATATTTAATATTAATAACATAATATTAATAATTAATAACATAAACATAATGAAACTAAAAATATTCCAAAATACTAACGAGGGACTAAACAAATCAGTGATTGTTTTGTCACCAATTGATGTACTTAATTCTTTTACAGGTTGACAAGGGTCCTAGGTAAAAGAATCCGACCCTATCGACATTTTGAAACAAATCCTTTAAGCTTCATTTTATAACTGTTTGATGTTGTTTTTCTAAACAAACCAAGTTCGCCAGCCATTGGCTTATTGCGAATAAGTCGGAATATACAGTGTCTTGTTAGCTCAGAATCTCACGGACAGATGGCAGCAGCACTCATTCATCGGGCCATTTGAATTCGTCAAAAAAAAGAGAGGTATTTTTAGTCAGAGAAATTCATTTTTTGTATTTTAAATAGTTTTAAAATTACACCTCATTAATATAAGTACATTATTAATTAAAATTACTAAAGAATGTAGTAGTTTTTATTATAAAACCAAAAATAAATAACACGAAAGAATGTTTAAAAATTTGTAAGAATTCTTTATAAAGTGATTGCCCGAACAGTTTTACTTTTTTCAAAAAATGGGTTATCGTGCATAAAAGTGAATAGTTAACGATTATGCTAATTAATGCTTATTTATCAGATGACAAATCTATTTAGTATGTTCAATGCATGTTTTGTGTCAATGTTAGATTCCTTAAAAAAATCGTCTGCACTAATTAATCAGCACATTTGAGGTCACCCTCTTGAATCACTAAGATCGACTCCTAGAGGGTGAGGATCCGATTATAAGATTGACAGTTATTCAGGGAGGTCCGTTTATTACCCATTGGCAAAATGGGTCTTGTTTTTGGTTTGATGGCAAAACGCTTTTCTACTGTGTTCAAGCGTAATAGTAAACAGTAGGCATGCGTTACTATGACAAACGCTGCTGTTCGGTAATTTTTTAAGAATTAGTTTTTCCCCAGCAGTCATTCTTAACATAACAATAATTTAAAGTATTTTGATATTCTTTTTATTATTATCTTATAATTACTGTCTTAACTGCGATTTTCATATAAATATGAATACTGAAGAAGGAGGAAAAGTATTTTGTGACGTCTTGAAACATGTATATAGCTAGGATTTGAAAACCAATCGAGACAGTTTTTGCAACCCATGATTTGATATGTTGTGGCGGAGTCAAACCAGAAAAAAAAAAAAAAAAGCTTTCGCCCAATGGGTAATTAGTAATCGAAATAAAACGAATTTTTTTTTTTTTTAAATTTTATTCTCAACGAAGATTACAAAAATGCCTATTCAGAGCTGTCTATATGTAACACCTTGTATATTGTCATGGACGACACATGGTTTAAATTATTTTAATTACAATCCATGTCCTCCCAATCTGAAGTTAAAAAGTGAATGATTATTACTAACTTATTATATGATGATTACTAACAGTTTGAAATTTATTATTTCACATTTTTGTGAAAATGCAATTTTTTTTTATTTATTTGTTTTTCTGCGTACTACCATTGACATTTTAAATGCTATCAGAGAAATTCACAAATCATTCATATGCTGTTAATAATAACTGTTAACAATGTGTTATACGAATTATGTCGCTCTTAATTTTTAATAGATGTTTACTGACAGAAGGTAATTTTCTGTTCATTAAATGAAAAACAAAAACATTTTGATTTGTAAAAATTACTGTTGAATTCCATTGGAAATTTTTTTTCCAATTGTTTATCAATTATGCTAATTAGTGTATATTGATTAGATGACAAATCAATTTAAAATGCTCAGTGCAATTATATATACCAGATCTAATTCAATTAAAATCTGTTTTTTTTTATATATAAACATAATTTTTCTTTGCTAGTACTTCCATTTAGTATTAGTCAAATTTTTCTCAAATTGCATTAACGGCAAAAGCTAGCAAAAAAAAAAAAAAAAAANAAAAAAAAAAAAATAGATACTATAGGTAAATTAAATTATCGCACCTAATTAATATCAGTACACTATTAATAAAAACTACTTCAGAATGTTTTAGTTTTTCAGAAAACCAATAATAAATAATACAAAATAATGTTTAAACATTTGCAAGAATTCTTTATTTTATTTATGAATTGTATGCTGGAACTGTTTTACTTTTTTTAAAGAATGAGTTTTAGTGCATAAAAGTGAATAGTTGACGATTATGCTAATTAATGTTTATTGATTAGATGAAAAATCTATTCAATATGCTCAGTGCAATTTTATATACCAGATCTAATTAAATTAGAATATTTTTTTAAGGAAACATAATTTTTCTATTTGCTAGTATTTCCATTTAGTATTGGTCAAATTTTCTCACATTGCATTTACGGCAAAAACTAGTAAAAAAAAATACTATAATGTAGGTAAATTAAATTATTGCATCTAATTAATATCAGTACACTATGAATTATAGCTACTTCAGAATGAAGTAGTTTTTTATAAAACCAAAAATAAATAATACAAAAGAATGTTTAAATGCTTATAAGAATTCCTTACATTATTTATAAAGTGTAAGCCCGAAATGGATTTAAAGAGTGAGTTTTAGTGCCTAAAAGAGAATAGTTAACGATTATGCTAATTAATATTTATTGATTAGATGACAAATCGATTTAATATGATCGGAGCAATTTTTGTCTCAGTGTTAGTTTTAATGTGTTCTGTTTAGTATTTAATTTTAGTTCATACCATTAAAAATTTCTATCGAATGAACTTATGTTGTTTATCTCCAGATCTAAGAATCCGCTGACATTAAAAAAAAAATCGAGGCATTTATGGAAATAGTAATTCATTAATTAAAAAAAGAATGAATAAAGCTTTAGTCAATATTACATTATTAAAAGCCTGTTTTTAATAATGTAATAGGCAAGGAATGTGAAATTAGTGACATAAAGATATTTAGGATATCTACTACGAATTCTATGTTTTTCAAACCTCTGTTTAGTGAAGTCATGGAAAGTGATGTTCTACCTTGATATCCTCGAGAGCATTGCAATAAAAAATATGTGATATGAATTAGCAAGCAAATAAAAAAAAAGAAATATTTATGTTTAAATAAATTTATATGTCCCTAACCAAAGAATAAGGTTAACAACTGAAACAAAACTGTAAACAACTGACACGGAAACCTGAAAAAGGATAAATTAAGGATTTTTAGAATAAAAGATAAAATGTAGACATTTTACTTAAATTATAGATAAAATAGTATTACAATACGGCTGGCAAGTCTGATATTATTTACCAGTGATATTTTATTAACAGTACCCCCTTTTTTCTGAGACTTTTTTAAAGTAAAATTTTTTTTCAGAAATCCAGAAACAAATATAGAATTTCTCTTAATTCAAAATATAAAATTTTCAGCTAGATCTGTTTACACAAGATTAATATTCTTAACTGCTTTAAAAAGTTTAATAACACGCAATACAAATGCTCTTAATTTAAGAAATTTTTCTCACAGCTTAATGTACTATTAGTGAAAACTTGTGCTTTAAAAATATTAAAAAACAGTGTCATAATCTCTTTGGTTTCCATGAACCTATGTTGTTTTAATAATTGCCAGTGCAAAATGTGCTCAGTTTATAATAACAATATATATATCCAGAATATTCCATTAAACGCAAATAATAAGAAATTGTTAAAATATAAAAAATATTTTTTATTTTTATTAAAAAATGATTATTTACAAATGATTTCAAAATGAAAATACAGCAATCTGCTTAAAACAGCAAATCCTGCAATAATTTAAATGACAACAAAAATAGGATAACAAATAAATGACCATCATAACATCCAAACAGCAACAAATCACTTTTAAAAGAGGATCCAATGAAAATTTACATTTGATATAATAATGTTAACTTTATAAAATTTGAGTGTAAAAAAGGAAATCATGTTAGAATTATATGCTACGAAAAGTATAACTTGAAGAGAATCGTTTATAAACAAGTTTCTTCACTTTTTCAAATAATTTTTGAATTTTTTTTGATCGATTTGCTTTTAAGTCGAGAAAGAAAATCGTATTAGTATTAGTTTTCTTCTTGTGCTATTTTAACATAAAATTTCAAAGGAAAAAAAAAACTTTTAAAAAATAAACACTAAAAAAATAAACTTTCTTGCAAAAATTTAGTATTAAATGCAGAGTTTAGTGGAAGAACCGGCGAGGAAGAATATCGAGAATCTTTAAAATTTTTGCGCACGCATTTATAAATAAAGCATTAAATAAAATAACATCATTTCGAATATGAAGTAATAAATTCGAAAAGATAAAGACACTTATAGATATTTTACAACTTCTTCTATTAGTCCCTTGTCTATCGTTTTTTTAANTTAAGAACTTAAAATTTAAGCGTAGCAGTAAGACTCATGTCCAAATTGTAGATTTGTGCAAATATAACACACCTTTTTAAAACTACCTTTCTGTACAACTATGTGATACTCAGGCTGATGTGATGTTTCAGAAAAAGGCCATTTTCTGGTGTGTAACTCTTCCTGGCTAATGCCCTGGGCAGATAGAAATGCCATATCTATACCTTGAGTCGGGATATTAAACTTTCGACATTCATTGGTTACAGTATTTTTTTGTGATTCAGTTTGGGTAACTTTGTCTTCCTTAATTTTATTCAACATCAAAGCCATGCAAGTTCTTGCATCTTCGATGCAATCATGCCCGCCAACGTCATTTTGCACCACAAGCTTTAGTTTTTCGTAAGCTAGATCTCTAAGCTTTGGCTTAGAGCCATCACTCCTTGGAAAAACAACTGAAGTATCCACTATTTTGGTATGAGTCAGTCTTAGACATCGGAGGTCTCCTTCCAGTCCATGACCAACAAGTATACACTGGCTGTGAAGCAGGCGGTCGAGAAACGTTTGAACATCATGAAGAGTTGTTGTTACACCAAGCAAATCCTTGGCTGTTATTCCGCTATACTTAGTGCAATAATCAAGGATTTCATTTTCGGGTTGTACGAAAGACTCGTAAATCGTGAAGCCTTCTTCATTAACTAAACCTACTTTTGCAACTTCCAATCCTTTTCCTGTGTAAACCATTTCACAATCTAATCCATAGACGCCACGAAGCTGGTCCATACGAACTTGTCTTTTGTCTCGTATGCTCTTGAACTCTGTAAAATTGAGCAGGGGATCTCCACAAATGTGTACTGGGTAAACTTTACAGCCAGAAGCGCCAGTAGGTTTACCACAACACTTGTAATTATATTCACTACCAGGACTAAAGACTACATTTGGTTTGCAAGGATGGTAGTAGCATTTGTCCTTTTCCGTGTACTTTCCGTCTGGAGTGACTTCGAATCTTTGACAACACCTGTAGCATTTTCTTACGACTGTACCATTCAGAGAAATCCTAGCTCCTTCAGTAATGCCAGGCATGGGGAATCTATTCATAGCCAGTTGTTTAGAATCTAATAGGTATCTTTCCAAGTGTCTGTAAATCCTTTCTTTAGACAAACCAAGGTCTTGAAATTCTTTAAGAGTGGTGAAAATTTTTCTTGGTCTGGGAACATATGGCAAGTCTAAAAAATTGAAAAATAAAAATTACTAACAAAATTAGATGCACCGGAAAAAACAATTCATTTTAACAGACTACCATTTTAGACAGTATAAATAATAAATTTAATTTTCTTATAAATACTGATAATATTTGCATGTCTTAATAAACTATTCTCAGGAACAACATCCATTTGTCTGCTTTTATGTACATTTTTAATAGTCCTTTTAAAAATTTCTTGCATTCTGAATTAATGAAATAGAAGACCAGTTGTTTAGTTACCATTGATACCAGAAAATTGTACTTTCTCTTTGTCATTTATAAGAAAAAGGATTTTTGGTGCTCAAAATACGGAAGCAACAGCAAACTAAATATTATGTAGCAATAAAAAAAAAGAATTTAATATTTAATTTTTAGCAATTTACAAGGATAGGACTGAAACTATTTGTGATAAAATAGGATCAAAAACTTTTTCTGTCCATTTTTGCATATGAAATATATTTAAATTGTTACACCAAGAGAAACAAATATTTCTATAGAGAAATATATTCTCAGGGTGCTTGACAAAACTAGCTTATTAGCCACACATAAAGATTGATTAGAAATCCTCTATTAAAAAGCATCAAACATTTTTCACAGACAATTAAATTTTCCTTAAATTTTGGTTACATCATAATATGCATAATAGTTTCAAAAATATGGAAACAGGGTGGCCTCTCTCCAGATGAAATTGAATTCCCTGGGATTTCAGAAGGAAAATGGTGGGAAAAATGGACAAGTGATTTAAATTAGTGCTATTTAAAAAAAAAAAATTCATATATTTATACCAAAAAGGAACTTCTATCACATTTAGCTGAAATAGTATTTCTAGATAAAAAAAATCTACCACTATTTGAGGTTTTAAAAGTTTAATATCTCTCACTATAAAAAAAATATTCAATAACTAATCTGTAATTTTTTTCAAAAATAAAATGTTTATTGTTCTAATGATTTATAAAGTCTGATTTTAATCAAGAAATTCTTATAAAATAGAAAGTTAATGCAATGATGTAAAGGAATTAAATTATAATACTACTAGATAATAGATATTTTATAACTTAACTTACAGTTGTCAGGATAGATTGAAAACACACTAGCAGTAAAAGTTTGTATGTAATCATAGGTACAAAACTACCCCTTGCTTATATATTAAGAATTTTCAGAGGAAAATACAAATTTAACTAAGAATTCTGGGTTTCTTAGTAGTATTCTTAATGGTGCAGCAAACAATGTAATAAACAAAATTTTCTCTGGAATAAACCAATTAATTTACACAATTGTTTTAATATATTATCAAATCTAATTATTAAATTTATTATAATATGTCTTTAATTTTTGATTTACAAGGAAAGTAAAAATAAAATTTTTGCATTTATAAAATATTAAAAAGATGTTTAAAAAAATAGCAAGCCTTATAGATTTTATTTTGTTATTTATATCCACTCAGCATTTATATCTTTTTACAAAATCTACCGGTCAACGATTAAAACCTTTAACCTTCAAACAATAAACATTTCAAAAGTTAAGAAATTTGGAGAGGGTTTCAAAAGCTCTGTGTCATGGAACGAACACAATATCACCAAATACAGTACAGAACCCGTTATCCGGAAATCAGAAAACCGGAAAACCAAAAAACCGGAACGAAATTCGATTAATTTTCCCGCAATTTTTAAAAAAAAAATTTTTTTACGGCTAAGATTTTAGGATTTTTCTTTCTTTTTTGAAAGATGCAGACCTTACCATCATTTTGGAAATAATTATTAGTGTATTACTTCATCATTTTTTCTTCTTTTTAAGATTATTTCCAAATATTTTTTTTTTTTTTTTTTTAAGTTGGGCTTAACAATAAAAGAACGGCTTTTTGTNTTTGTTGCTATTGAATGAGTTAAGAAATAATCTAAACTTTTTTTATTTGTTTTGTTTACAAATTTTGCTTGCACTTAGCACAACCAGTATTTGTATATGAGACGAAGCTGTTTCTGATTCAGATTTATAAGATATTTTTTAGTCAGAGCTTGATGAAGTAAGAGATTTAAATGATTAGACAGGGACGTCTTAATTACATGCAGGGCTCTTCGGTACACAAATGTTATAACATGTCATACTGTTTAAAATCGAATTATAAAATTACATGTACATGAAATAAAGCTTTCTTATTATATGCAATAATTTTAACAAATTTCAACATATTTTGATTACCCCCAAAATTTAATGTATATAAAATAAAGCATTTTTAAACTATGCATAATTTTAAAAAAAATTGAGATGGCAGCCAGTTAAAATCGTCGAAGAATGAAATAACTTTGAAAACTATGGAAGCTAATTAAAATAATTAAATTTAAAAAAACGCATAAAGGTAAAACAAATGGAAGAAAAAGCCCAAGAGTGTGAATTATTTCGTCAAATTTAGCAGTTATTAAAACATCTTTCAATACACATCAGACGTAACCAGTTTAAAAGTTGTCCCATAGTGCTGTGTAATTCTAAACTCTTTCGATTATGACTTTATTTGACTAATTGTAAATACTAAACAGAGTTGATGGTGGTCATTATGACTTAACATAAAACTTGTTCACATTAATTTATTTTCATTGATATTTTTTCATGAACACAATGATGTGTCAACATTTGCTGGAAGTGTGAGTCGATTACCCTAAAACTTCATCGCATTGTAGAAAAATAAATTTCGGGTGCCTTTTTAAGCTTTCCTGGTGATGAACTATTCAAATTATTGCTGTGTGTAATGATAATCAATCATTTTTTATTGAAAAGAAAAACAAAATACACACTTTATACAATAGAATATTTTCTTTTTTTATAAAATATATAAGGCAATGTTGGTGATCCTTATTTTTTTTTAGTGCAATTTATGAAAAATAAGATTCATATCAGGGTAAAATGCATTTCCACGTAATTTGGAGAGGTGGTTAACAAGACAATCAGAATTCCTATGAATGAAACAAGATTCCAGGGCATCAAGATGAGCTGATGTATCTATGGTGTTCCTTCATTCTAAATTTTAAAGCATGTCTGTTTCTTTTTTTTTTTCTTATGTAGGCAAGGTATGAGGTATCCAGCGATTTTTAAAACTGATTGAATTTTTAAGGGACTTAAATATTATTAACAAACCTAAAAATGACTTAGAAAACTAAAAGTAACTCAGCTTGCGGCTTTTCCGGATTAATCACTTATTTTAATAGAACCTTAAATTAATTTACATGTTAAACTACTGTAGCACCTTTCACAATAATTTGTTAATAAGATAAGAATGCAAAATGTCAATAAATAAATAAATTAGAATAAAAAACATATGAAAAATAAAATTTATTTTTGTATTTCTGATTTTTTGAATGCTAAACTTATTATTTTAACACTTTAGTAAGCTTGTTTTATTAATGTGGGAGATTTGTTTTTTTTAATTTCTTGATATCAGTTCACTCTCAAACAAGAATATCCTGTTTGTTGGGCTTGGTTTTATAGGTTATGTTTACGAAAGTTTTAAGAAGTACAGTAAGAAAAGAAAAAAAAATTAAAAAACTGTTATCGTACATCAAGAAAATTTTTTTTATTTAATTCACCAAATAAATAAAGTAAATAGTTTTGACTCTTAATTTATTTTTCTCACGTAACTGGATTCCTTCGCAATAGAAAGTTTGGAGGTTAACAATTATTTCAATAAAAATAAAGGTTCATAAAAACTCTAAGAGCAACCAATGACAAAATTTATAAATTATCCAAAACTCTTAATGAAAAACTTCCGATGGGGGACAAACTAATTTTTAATCCCAAAAATATCCATATGTTCTGTTTATTCACTACAAAAATTGACTGGAGTTACTAAAATTTAACTTGACGTTCTCTTTTTCCAATCACTTTTGTTTCTTTTCATTCACGTCTTGAAAATCGGCGCCTATTTTTGAGCTCTTAAAACATGCCGACTGTTATTTCCAATTTGTATACATTCATTACGATTTCATTAACTTTAAATGAATATTAATCCCTATTTCTAATTTTGTATTAATTTAACGAACAAAATGATTTCGATAGAAAGAATTTGTACGTCGTTCTCCAAAGCAGACACGCTTTTTAATTAACACATTTCTCTGTTTTGAAAGTTGTTCGCTTTAAAAAGATTTCCCTGAATTCAAATTCCGCAGTAAAGTATACCATGCCTTAAACTAGTTATTTTAGTTTTATTATTAGAAAACGCATGGAATACATGAATTTCCGAAACTATAACTTGTTTTATGAATAATTTTAGGGTTACTGTGAGTCTGAATTTAGTTATGTCGTACATAAATGAGTTTAACCCGGCACTGGATACCCGGTAAAATTGGTCGAGTCGGGCAGCGAAATTTTTTGACCGATCCAGGCAATGAAAAATCTGCCCGGGTATCCGGTACACAATAATATTAATAATTAATATAAATAACTAATATTAATAATTAATATTAATAATTATTATTAATATTTAATATTAATAACATAATATTAATAACATAAACATAATGAAACTAAAATTATTCCAAAATACTAACGAGGGACTAAACAAATCAGTGATTGTTTTGTCACCAATTGATGTACTTAATTCTTTTACAGGTTGACAAGGGTCCTAGGTAAAAGAATCCGACCCTATCGACATTTTGAAACAAATCCTTTAAGCTTCATTTTATAACTGTTTGATGTTGTTTTTCTAAACAAACCAAGTTCGACAGCCATTGGCTTTTTGCGAATAAGTCGGAATATACCGTGTCTTGTTAGCTCAGAATCTCACGGACAGATGGCAGCAGCACTCATTCATCGGGCCATTTGAATTCGTCAAAAAAAAGAGAGGTATTTTTAGTCAGAGAAATTCATTTTTTGTATTTTAAATAGTTTTAAAATTACACCTCATTAATATAAGTACATTATTAATTAAAATTACTAAAGAATGTAGTAGTTTTTATTATAAAACCAAAAATAAATAACACGAAAGAATGTTTAAAAATTTGTAAGAATTCTTTATAAAGTGATTGCCCGAACAGTTTTACTTTTTTCAAAAAATGGGTTATCGTGCATAAAAGTGA